TCTTCCTCTTTGGCTCGACAAAAAATAAAGCCCACCGGTAAAAAGAATACTTCTGTACAGGATTAAATATTGGGAGAAAGAAAGATAGGCATATCGATAAATCTTTACACTCGGTTCGAAGTAGTGAAGCAATTATTCATAAAACTGAGAAAAAACATGGAAAAATCTCCAGAAAAGGCAACAAGGGTTTGATTTTGAGTGAAGGGAGGGATGCGGATGAGAATTACGGGCTTATATGTCCTGGTTGTGGAGTGTTCATGCAGGATGCAGACCCGAATCATCCAGGTTATTTCCAGAAAAGAAAAGCCGAAAAATCAATCGATGCTGCAGAGGATTTGTTGGATGACGATTTCGATGAAGCCGAAGACTTTGAAGGTGATGACGAAGATGAACTTGAGGATTTCGAGGATGACATTGAGGGAAACTTGGAAAATATCGGTAAAGACGTGGTCGACTGGGATGCTGAAGACTGGGAATCGGATTTTGAGGACGAGGAAGACAAGTACTTGAGAGAGCTGGATGGGTTTGCCCCTGCTGGGGTTGGATATGGAAACATCACAGAGGAAACCCTAGAGAAGAGCAAAAAGAAGAAGGTCTCGAAAGCCGAGAGGAAAAAGATGGCGAGGGAGGCTCAGAGAGAGAAGGAAGAGGTCACGGTTTGCGCCAGGTGTCACTCTTTGAGAAATTACGGGCAGGTTAAGAATCCCACGGCTGAAAATTTGATACCCGATTTTGATTTTGACCGGCTGATAAGCACGAGACTAATGAAGCCCACTGGGACAGCCGACTCTACTGTGGTGGTTATGGTCGTCGACTGTGTCGATTTTGATGGGTCATTTCCAAAACGTGCGGCCAAGTCCCTTTTCAAAGCTCTTACGGAAAATAAAGAAGGTTCGAAGCTGGGTAAAAGGCTGCCCAAGCTCGTTCTTGTTGCCACAAAGGTGGATCTTTTGCCTTCGCAAATTTCGCCTGCTAGGTTAGATAGATGGGTTAGGCACCGCGCAAGGGCGAATGGGGCCCCCAAGCTGAGTGGGGTTTATATGGTTAGTTCAAAGAAGGATTTGGGTGTGAAGAACTTGCTGGCATTTGTTAAGGAGCTGGCGGGTCCTAGAGGGAATGTTTGGGTTATTGGAGCCCAGAATGCTGGAAAGTCAACATTGATCAATGCTTTTTCGAAAAAGGAAGGCGTTAAGGTCGCGAAGCTTACTGAAGCTCCTATTCCAGGTACAACACTTGGGATCTTGAGAATTGGAGGGATTTTGCCAGCTAAGGCAAAAATGTATGATACACCGGGTCTCTTGCACCCATACTTGATGTCCATGAGATTGAATAGAGATGAGCAGAAAATGGTCGAGATACGGAAAGAGCTCCAACCTCGAACTTTCAGGATAAAGGCAAGTTTTTAGTTGCTTAGTGCTGAGTTGAAGCATATTCCATATGTTGGCTTTTGAATTTAAGAGCTAAAACATGAGAGTTTAATGATTGTCATGTTTTTTACAAATTATTGTTATTGAAATAGAACTAATCTAGTGTGGAGTAGTTTTCTATTGCATAAATGACGGGTTTCTGTAATAGACGAGTTTGCTCTCGGTATCAGTCAAGAAGTGTGAAGGGTAGGAGACTTTGAAGTAAATGAGTGTGATGTTCTTCGGTGAAATCCCTTAGATAGGGCAGTGAAGAAATATCATAATTTAATAACTCTGTAGGCTTCTCTCCCTTTTGCCTCAACTGAATAAATACCTGATACTCCATTTAGTTTCTGTGGTTCGGTTTCAGCGCAAAAATGTTTTCAGGCTTTCTTCTTACCTAATGCATCTCGTAATGGATATTGATTAGCTACAAGTACTTTCACTGTCTGATACTGACTTTCTATTACAGCACACTTATTTTTGTCTCTATTTGGTATTTACCCTCATCGTGAGGAAATTTCAATACACTAATTGAGATCCGCCTAAAAGGGCTCTGCATTGTGAAACATGATCTTTATCTCTTGATTCCTCATCAAATGGTATCTAACTGAAGTCATTATCAAAATTTATTTCGTGCTATTAAGTCAAAACACCGGATATTCTCACGTGCAGGCTGGTCAAGCTATACATGTGGGTTGCCTAGTCAGACTGGATCTTGACCAAGCTTCAGTAGAAACTATCTATGTAACGGTTTGGGCATCCCCCAGTATTTCTCTTCATATGGGGAAGATCGAAAATGCCTATGAGATAAAGAACAATCATGCCGGGATTAGATTGCAGGTATTGATTCTGTGCCACTTGAACGATTTTCGTTTAGAATTATTTGTTCGCTTTGGACCTAGACTTATATGATTATATTTATGGAGAACAAACTGCAAAATATACATTATTGTATCATAGCGACACGAACGAAGGGGATAAGGACATATGGAAAAGTTGTTGCTTCACTTGTGAAGTACCAAAAATAAAATTTTCCTAAAAGATGCTATAAAATTAAAATGCTATCTTTTTGTTAGTTCTTCTCAGGAAAGGTAGAATCATTTGCTGGAAGTTTCTCTACTATCATTATTTTTTTTTTTTCAGCCGCCTATTGGTGTAGAACGAGCTTCTGAATTAGGAGAATGGGTAAAAAGGGACATTAAAGCATGTGGAACAAGCTGGGACGTGAACAACATGGATGTTGCGGTGGCGGGACTGGGCTGGTTCTCATTAGGTCTAAAAGGTGAAGCAAATTTAAGCCTATGGACTTATGATGGCATACAAATCGATTTGCGGGAGCCTTTGGTGCTCGACCGGGCTCCTTTTCTCGAGCGGCCTGGCTTCTGGCTGCCAAAGGCCATATCTGATGCTATCTGGAATCAAACTAGGCTTGAAGCTCGATCGAGGAGAAAAGATGAAGAAGGAAGTACAGATTTGCTTTCTGGAGTGCATACTGGAGAACAAAGACAATAATATATTTTGGTATTTGACTACTTGAGAGTGGGCTTGTACAAGTTTAAGAAATATTAAATTTTTTGTTTGTTTCTATGATCCTAGTTCATGG